TTGGGTTTAGGAGTAGCTGGGGCTCTTTCCCAGATCTTTCTGAGGGCCCTTTTGACTCAAATTGACATTTTGCTCTTGCACTCCCGGGCGGCTCTGGGAAATCCCTGCATAAATGGCCTCTTCATTCAGTGGGGCAATCAATCTGCTTCCCATCCCCCTTCACGACTGATTAACCCATCCAACCATATCATTTACTTATTTCATTGTAGCCCTCGCTCATTCAGTCATGGATGGTAGGTGGTTATACTAGGGCAAGTCTAGGGTTTTATAATAATAATAGCTACATTTGTGGCTTTCCATATGCATGTCCTCTGCCAAGTGCTTTGCCTGTATGAACTCATTTATCTTCCTGTCAGTCTTCTTACTGCCATTTCACAGATGAGGAAACTGAGGCTCAGAAGAGGTAAGTCACTTACACCAGGGTTGGGAACAGGCAAAGCTGGCATTCAATGCCAGACAGTAAGCTTCCAGAACTCTCAATGGGAGTCCCCAGCAGGGGCACCTGACTTGGGAGGTCAGGGAAGGTTTCCAGAAGCAGCTAAGACCTAAAGAATGAAGAATGAGGTAGGGAGGGTGTGATAAGGATGTGCCAGGCAAGATGCTGGGGAGGAAAAAAAGGAAGCCAAAGCGAGTACCTGCCCTGGTTCTCCAGGAAGTGTTAAATCCTGCTTTGGACAGAAAAATACTCACCTTCCTTGCTAAGACTTTGTTCCTATTTCTGTTTATCTTATCTGTTTAATTGTAGATAGTAGCGTTTACATGTTCTCTTCAGTTATGACAGCTAGTTTCAAAGCTTTGTTGAGGCCTTGGTTTCTGAAAGTTTGTCCACATCCCTTAGACTATACATTTCTCGAGTCTGGGGTGCATGTTTCTTTCTCTCCCACCGTACCTCAAAACCTACTTATTATTAAAAAAACCAATAAACAAACTGAGAGAATGACTTAGCCTCAGAAATTATACTTTTAATTTTTACCTTTCTACCTTTCAATCTGATAAGAACTAGAAAAAAATCTTCAGTAATAAAAGGCTCACAGTTCTTTTCAGACATTCAGAGGATGCATTGTGAATCATTCCCCCTTATCCAGGGGGAAAATGTTCTGTAAAACCCTACAGTGCAAGTGGTGGTTCCCAAATCTGCCTACATATCGGAATCATCTAGGAAGCTTTTAGAACATACCCATGCCTGCCTGGGCACCAAGAGATTCTGATTGAATTGTTTAATTGAGAAGGGATCTGGGCAGCACCTTGCATCACCCCCCGCCCCTTTTTCTAAAGCTCCTCAGGTGATTCTAACATGCCACCATCATGGCAAACCCCTGGCTCAGACAATATCCCCTTTTCTCAGGGATCAAATAAAACGACAGATAGTTTGGAAGGGTGAGAAAGTCCTCTTAGACTTCGTTGTGAAGACAGATGACACAAATGGAGGCAGGAGACAGCTTTTCCCACACATTCTCCTACTGGTCCCTTGACTCCTGGCCCCAGCATTTCCAAACCCTGTGGGAAGACCCTGGGCACTTGGTTGAGAATGGAGAGGTTAAAAAAAATGCTTATGGATGCACTCTGGCCTCACAGGGCTTCACCTGCAGCCTTCCAAGCGCAGGTGACAAAATGATGGGATTTTCATTACCTAGCTTCAAGCAATGACCTTCATATTCAGTGGTCAAAAAGAAGACCACAGAACTGTACTATTTTCCTCATATCAGCAAGGAAGAGATGCTCTTTTCCCTCTGCTCCAGGCAGGAAGATAAAGTTATCTGGTTCCCGGGAGAGATTGAGGGTTGGGGTGGCAGTCATGGTGCTGGCCAAGTTGGCCAGGAGCAACTTTGTGCCATTCTTGAGTGTTCTTACCAGGCTGGAGGCAAGTGGTCAAGGAAGCAAAAAAAGGCGGAAACTGGCCCTTCATGTCAGGCCTGTGTAAAGCTGGAGATGATCAACAGCAGGATCTGAACTTGGCATCTGCGTGGATGCCACAGAAACTGTATACGTGTGTGTGTGCTCACACCTGTGCATGCATACGTTTCTGTGAGAAGCGGTTTCTGGTTTTCATCAGCTTCCTAAAGATTAAGGATGGTACTTGGCCCTGAGCAGCTCCCGCTCTGAGCTGGACACATATTTGTCCCCCACACACCCCTGTCCTGGTAGATTTATCCAGCTGAAGGTAGCAGGGCTGGCCATAGCAAATTACCGAAGTGGATGGCACTCACTCTTTACAAGAGGCCCCAGGGGTGTAGCTTCCCCATTTTCAGATGGCCTGAGCACAGCTAATGGTCACCAGCTTTGTCTTCCTCCCCAGCTTGGGGCTTTCCCTCCCTGTCTGAGCAAAAGGGCTCTCTGGGCTTCCCTATATCTCTGTCTTCTTCTGCCCTTGTGCTCCCAGACCCGAACCCATTTTTCTCTGTCTCTGCAGGATCATCACCTTACCCTTGACTCCAAAGTTCAGTAATCACCGTGTCAGTCTTGTGGGCCCTCCCCAGGCTTCTGGTTTCTAGTTACTATGCTGACTTGTCACCATCAGGACTCTGGGTTGAACTTCCAAGGTGATGGGCAAAGGGGCAGTGCCCAGGTCAGCCTTTCCCCCCGGGGGAGCAGAGTTCCAGGCCTTGTCTACTAACCAATACATGTATCAGAAAGTCAGTGAGGAAAACACATAGTTTTAGAGAAAAACATTAGCACTTAGCTTACTGATGCTACACTACAGGGAAAATAAGACGCAACTATATAACTAGTTATAGATGTGGCAAAAAAATCCTAATTACTCTCATTTATATAAGCTGTTTATTATGCATGCCCAATTCTCATGTGGCACAAGAATGGTGTCTAGATCATTAAGTGGGTCAGTTTCCTTTTGTTTCAAAGCTAAACTGTATTCAGGTATGTCAGACTTGAAAGCTTGCCGATCCAGTGACAGGGCTGTCTGCTTTCAATTTAGGAAAAAAAAAATCATTAGAGGAGAATGTTGGCCTAGATGAGGAAGCTAGGGAGGGGAGAGGAGCCTTGTAGGTCAGGTCCCTCCGCATCCTCCATGATTTACTGTATGAACTTGGGCAGGTCAATTTACCTGCCTGGGCTTCCTTGCCGTCCCTGTGCCCTTTCCGCCCCCCTCACTCCAACACCAAGTCTGGGAGCACCAGGTACTGGTTTTCGATTTTTTTTCTTTAAGCAGGAGGCCCCTTCCTTTTTTTTTTTTTTTCAAATAAAACCTGTATAGAAACCCAAAATATAAAGCAGGTGAAAGAAGAGCTGCCGAAGGCTGCCTTTGGGGTGTCTTCACCAAATGCTGAGATTCCTCGTTCATCCTATGATTCTGACATTGCAAGAATGGGGCAGGACTGGCAAGCAACCCCATGCAACTATCATGCTTGAAGGGGAGCCCAGAATAACACCCACATGGTGGACGGGGGCATCCCAGGAGCATTTGTAGTGAACCTGGACTTAAACCTGCAATTCCTCACAGAAACAGGTGGAGGGAAGCATGTCATGCTGAACTTCTGAGGGTAGTGGGTAAGACGCACACTCGGAGTTCTAACACCTTCAAAAAAGTTCAGGCCGCTTTCATTTGAAATTGCCCTCTCCCAGGTTATTGGAGAGGATGAAATGAGTTGACTGTTATGCCTTGGTTTCAAAAGAGGCAGTTTTGAAAACTGTGGTCCCCCAAGCTCTAAGATACTAAGCCATTTGTCCTAATGACACAGCAGACGCTGAAGTCTGGAATACCGCAGGAATATCACACCACTGCAAATTACTAGGTGGTGCTGAGTCTTTAAAAAACAAAGCAAAACGCAGAATTGAAACAAAACCATTGCACTGTTTTTTTGAGATGCACGCTTGATATGAGCTAATCAAATGGTTTTTGAGAGGGTTTTCCTGGAGGCAGAATTATCCTGCACAGTTAAACAGTCCTCCAGTTTCCTCCTTTGTTATAGCTATGGGTAAATACAAGGCCTATATAGTGGACTATTCTCTCTCTCACTTATGTTCCTGAAGACAAGGCCTTTTTGTCACGGGTATGCTCAAGACCAGTCAACCTTACAAAAGGAGTCATTTTCTGCTCAATTTCCCCAACTTTCCTATGATGAAAAACTTGTAAACTTCAAATGCTGTTATTGTATTCTAGATTGTTTTCTTTCCCTCTCCCCCAGCAAATGTTTAAATTGTCTCTACTCTGCAGGATCACCCCCTGCCCGGCTTTTTTTTTTTTTTCCTTTTTCTTTTTCCTGAATCCAATCTGACCTTGCAAGCAGAGAGAGGTGGCTCTCCTCTTCTTCTCCACACCCTAAACTATTTTAAAATCCAGGCCCTCTGACCTTTTTACAACACTCTTCTTGTCTGACACACCAAATGCTAATCCGAGAGCCGAGAGGGGGTAAAGGGTCTTGGAGGGGGGGGGCGGCTGGGGAGGGGAGGGAGGGAGGTACCATATATCTGGCATCAGTTCAGAAATTCAGAAAATGTTTGTGCAACCACTCCCCCGGCCAGGATCCACCGCACCCCCTGCCTTCCAGCACATTAATAAAAAAAGATGTGAGCGGATGAAACCGGAGAGCCCAGGAAGGACACCCAAGGCGGTCAGATCGTGCGCCCGGGCGGCGGGGGTGGGGGGAGCCCCCCGATCACCGCCATCCCACACGTCCAGCCCGCATCCCTCCCCTCCCGACTTCCAAACTTGGAGATGAGGACCTCCGGCGCGTCCAGCCCCAGCCCGCGGATGGCCGGTGGGAGCAGGAGCAGCGCCGCCCATAACGGCTGCTGTGGACCTGCGGAGGGGCCGCCGCCACCGCTGCGCGCCGGGGTGGCCGCGCCGGGCACCTCAGCAGTCCCACACGCCCTTCAAAAAGAGAGGGGGAAAATCACGGAGCCCCCAGGCCTCGCGGGCGCGAACCTGCGGGGTGAGCCCAACACACCCCACAAGGGTCCGCGTCCCCCTCAAACAGAAAGCAAAGCCGGGTCTGGAGAGTGGGGGGGCGGGCGGGGGTGCGCAAGGCACGAAGGCACCTCACCATCCTGTCCTGAGCTCTCCAGATGCTCGGTCAGGTCACAGCCAAAGGCTCCGGCGGCGGCTCCCTTTCGTTTCAGCTTCTGCTTGGCACCCTTGTTCTTCATGAGTTAGTCCCGCCGAGGCTGGCCTCCGGCTCCCCTCCCGAGGGCTCGGCGCCGCGCCCAGGCCGCTGTCCGGGGTCGGGGGCGCGGGGCTCCTCCGGGGCCGCGCTGCGGGGGGCGGGGGCGGGGGCGGGGGCCGGCGGCGCGGGGCGCACCTGGCCGCCGGCAGCCCCGGGGGCGCGGGGGCGCGGGGGCGCGGGGCGCGGGCGGGGGCGCGGGGCGCGGGCGGGGGTCTCCTCTGCGCGGCTCCCGGGCGGCGGCCGCGCCCTCAGACGGCTCGGGGCGCGCGCGGAGCCAGCATCCCGGCCCCTCGGCCGCCCGCCCTCGCGCCGTCCCTTTTTTCCTGTCTTACAAACCGAGGCTCATCCAGCTCAGGAAACGCTGGAAGGAAGTCAGCCGGGGAGGGGGCGGGGGTGGAAAGTTTTGGCAGCTCGGCGCTGCGCGTGTACGGGGCCGGAGGAAGTAGGTGGGTGGGTGGGTGGGTGGGTGGAGGGGGCGGGGGCGGGGGCGGGGGGGCCCGGAGCTCCGGCCCCCGAGCCCTCCGCGCCGCCCGGGAGGAAGCCGCCGCGCCCCCGGGGCCCGCAGCCCGGCCGCCGCTTCCTGCCCCCCGGCCCCCCCCGCCCCGACCCGCACCCCGCACCCCGCACCCCGACCCGCACCGCGGGAGGCGGCGCCCGGCCTCCTGGACCCAGGCTGCCAGGTGGGCCCCTGGCCGCCCCCCGGGCTGCCCCCGCCACCGTCCCCTCCACGCCCTGCGCTTCGGTGCCCGCTCCGCCCGCACCCACACCTGACGGCGGAGACAAAGGCAGGGCCCCCGCCCGGCGACCTGCCGGCCAGCGGGCTTCCGCCGGCGCCCGCAGCCGCCTCCCCTGCGCCCAGGTGCCCCCCACCCAGGTAGCCCCCGGCCACTCCCAGCGGCCTCCCCTGCGCCCAGGTGCCCCCCACCCAGGTAGTCCCCCCCACTCCCAGCGGCCTCTCCTGAGCCCAGGTGCCCCCACCCAGGTAGTCCCCCTCCAATCCCAGCGGCCTCCCCTGCGCCCAGGTGCCCCCCACCCGGGTAGTTCCCCCCCACTCCCAGCGGCCTCTCCTGAGCCCAGGTGCCCCCCACCCAGGTAGCGCCCCACTCCCAGCGGCCTCCCCTGCGCCCAGGTGCCCCCCACCCAGGTAGCCCCCCACTCCCAGCGGCCTCCCCTGAGCCCAGGTGCCCCCCACCCAGGTAGTCTCCCCCACTCCCAGCGGCCTCTCCTGAGCCCAGGTGCCCCCACCCAGGTAGCCCCCCTCCAATCCCAGCGGCCTCTCCTGCGCCCAGGTGCCCCCCACCCAGGTAGTCCCCCCACTCCCAGTGGCCTCCCATGCGCCCAGGTGCCTCCCACCCAGGTAGCCCCCCACCACTCCCAGCAGCCTCTCCTGAGCCCAGGTGCCCCCCACCCAGGTAGCCCCCCCCCACTCCCAGCGGCCTCTCCTGCACCCAGGTGCCCCCACCCAGGTAGCCGCCCCCCACTCCCAGCGGCCTCTCCAGCGCCCAGGTGCCCCCCACCCAGGTAGCTCTCCCCCTGCGAGGTTAAGGGAACACTGGGGGGTGCCGCGTTCTAGCCACTGCCCAGGAAATCAGATTTCTGGTTAGGGATTCACACACACACACACACACACACACACACACACACACACACTTTTGCAAGTTTGCTAAATGGAAGTGACCGGCGGGGCATCCAAGACTTAAGGTGACTGATACTCTAGCATACGTGGAGAAAGGAGGCTCCCAGCCTGTCTCATAATTTGTCTCAAGTTTTCAGGAGGGCACGATTTTTTTTTTCTTCTCCAGTTAGATCCGAAATTCCTTGACTTCTGTGTACTCAGCACACACAGTAAGCACTCAAATTCTTGTGATTTAACCATTTGGAGATTAGATTAAACTTCCTGCATAAATTCAAATCCATATATAGACTTGAAGGGTGGGGACCTCCATGCAGCTCAGATTGCTGACTGAGCTTTAAGGACAGTATTTTAGTTACTGAATCCCTTTCCAGTCACTTAACTCCCCACCTATCAGGGGGACAGTGCCCCTTGACCCTTAGCCTTCTGTCCTTGTCAGAGGTCACAAGGGACAGCCTGCCTCCCGAAGCTGGGCCGCAGATGTGTTTGGTTTGGCACCCACCCTGCTTTAACTTTTTTAACGATCGATTGCCAACGTTAAAGGGTTAAGAGATTTCACTTCCGAGATCTGAGTTTCTTGCTTCTCTTGCAAAAATGGAAGGTCTGGTCACACGGAAGGTGCAATCCCACGTGGCAAGGACTGCTGATGCCCAGCTGTGACAGCCCCCTTTCAGGTTTGCAGCCCCCACCGCCCGTCTTTCCCCGCCTTTGCACCTGCCTGGCTTCTGGAGCCGCTTGAGTTCCAACCCCAAGCTCTGTGCATGGTTGTCTGCTTCCATTTTCCATCTGTCTCAGTGACACTAGCATTGCCCCCGTCATCTTGGCTAGACATCTTCAACTAACCACTGACTCATTTCTTTCCTTCCACCCCCACCTCCAGGCTAGTCCTGCCTGGACCGATGAGTCCTTCAAAATGCCTCCCTTCTGGGTTTCTTCTTTTCCACGCCCATTCAGCAAGGATTATTCACTCCTCAGTTATTAGAATAAGTCATAGTGGGATTCGCTGAGTCTGATCTCTGCCCGCTTCATCCATCCTATGTACTAAATTAGGCTTGATGAGCCCTCCTGAAATATGGTTGTTATATGCCTGTTTTATTCAAAACCTGTCAATGGTTCCCTGTTTCCTAGTGCCAGGACGGCAATTTCTAAGCATTTTGTAGGATTCTTAGAGAATATTTGGTAGGGGATTCAGTGTGATGGCTTGTTCCTCCCTTTATTTATAGAGAAGCATTTCCATATGAGACTGTAATTATTACCATTAACATTTGTTAAGGCGTTTACTCTAGCGAAGACTTTCGTATTCATTTATTTCATCTGCCACACAGCGGATTTCATCAGTTGGGCAACAAAGGAGAGAGGCCAAAGGTGTGCTTTTTTTCCTGGGTCCCGGCCCCCAGGGCACAAAATATGGATAAATTATCTAGTCCTTGAATTACCTCTTTAAATCTTTAAAAACATTCTTTTAGCTTTTCATTTTGAAGTAATTTCAGCTTATAAAAAACTTGCAAAGAATAGTCAAAGAATTCCCATCTACCCTTCATCCTGCTTTCCCAAATATTAATATCTGCTATAATCAGAGCACAGTTATTAAAATTAGGAAGTGTATATTGATACAGCCCTTATTCAAATATCAATTAATTTTCAATTACATGCGATTTTTGTTAAATATAATATTCCTCACAATAAAGCCCACCAGTAATTTATAAATCTCATACACTTGGCCGTGTAGCATTAGCCATGTACCAGATCCCCTTAATCACCAAATGCAGAAGTGTAGGTTGTCACAAAACAGAGCTGCCTAGGTGAACCAGGAAAACTAGTGACCCTGACACAGCCCTAAGATTCTTCTGTGCTTTACTGAGGATTCCCAGAGGGACTCTGCAATCCTAGAAGCTTCATCCTAGAACAGCCTGAGACCTTTTGGTCCTTGCTTCCTGATAAGTCGTGGTAAGCTGGGTTCAAGGTGTTTAGAGTTCAGACTTGAGGTAATACTGAGCACTGGGCAAGGCATCCATTATGCCTGGGCTGATATCAAATATTTGATATATGTTCACGGTGGAGTTTTTGTCTTTATTTGATAACTCTCAATTACCTACACTTTATGGTTGGAAGAACTCACAATTTATCAAGCCAGATAATGAAGCTACATAGTGACGGCGAGCCCCAGAAAGCTGGAAAACTGTCCCCTTCCCCATTTGTCCCTGTCCCCTTTCATTGCTGAGTATGCCCTGTGACAGATGCCAAACTTGAATCTGGCCCTTGTTCTAGACACTCTATTTTTCTTTCTCTTTCCTTTCTCTGCTTATCTCTTCCTCTCCTTTTTTTCTCCTTGCTTATCCTAAGATGTGTAGCTTTGTCTGGGTCTGTTGAAGAAAATCAGATTTGGGTTTCAAAGGGTTTATCTGTTGAGCTTGGGATTTCCTAGAAAGCAAGATTATAGGGAGCTTGCATAAGAATGTTAATAGGAGGACGAATTAAGCTGTTTGATAATAATATAAATGATCCCTTCAGCAGATTATCACAGGACAAAAAGCATTTCACTTATGTGGAGCTCCCATCATAGAGTTTTGTTGTTGCCTATGATTTACCTTGTCTGTGACTAAGACTAATGCCTATCAAAGTGTGCCATCTGCTTCCTTCGCTCACCAGTGATGGTAGTAATCTCTGCTATAAATAAATGAGATACAGAAGACAGAAGGTGGGTATTGGGTGATTTTAGCGTAACCTGTGAGCTAGCCTTTTCTTTTACTTGGCCATAAAGCTAGAATTGGCAATCAGCAGCTTTATTTTATTTTTTTAAAATGTATTTATTTATTTATTTGAGAGTGAGGAAGGGATAGAGACAGAGCATGAGCACGAGCTGGGGTAGGGGCAAAGGGACAGGGTGAGAAATCCTCAAGCAGACTTCCTGCGGAGCCTGATGAGGACCCACGGCTAGATCCCGTGGGTCCCTAAGATCATGACCTGAGCTGACATTGAGAGTTGGACACTTAACCGACTGAGCCACCAAGGCGCCCCAGCAATCAGCAGTTTTAGAGTATTCTGAATTCTTTGTTCTGCAATAGAGAATGCCAGCGTATTCCTCCTGCTGGGTACATTTTCTCTTCTTTTCCTCTTCCCTGTTCCCAGCTTAAAAATGCTGGTCTTATCACCAGTTATTACGTTTTATGAGCTGAATTGTGCCTCCCTTGCCAAATTCATATATGAAAGCCCTAACTAACTCCAGCACTTCAGAATTTGACTGTATTTGGAGAAAAGGCCTTTAAAGAAGTAATGCAGTTAAAATGAGGCTTCTAGATCCTAATCTATAAGTAGGATCCTAATCCAATCTGACCAGTGTCCTTGTGAGAAAGGGAGATGAAGACAGAGACACTGGGGATGTGAACCACAGAGAAAAGACCGTGGGAGGACACCGTGAGAGGATGGTCATCTAC